GTGTACGAGGGTTCCTTTTTTTCTACATGTCACCAACACTTGCTCTTTTCTGTCTTTTTTATAATAGCCATCATGACTGGTGTGAGGTAGTATTTCATTGTGATTTTGATTTGCATTTCTCTGATGTTGAGCATCTTTTCATGTGCTGGTTGCCCACCTGTATGTCCTCTTTGGAAAAAATGTCTAATCAAGTCCTCTGCTATTAATAGATTTGTTTGTTTTTCTGATATTTAGTTGTATAAATTCTTTACATATTTGGATATTGACCACTTATTTGATGAATCATTTGCAAATGTCTTCTACCATTTGGTAGGTTGCCTTCTCATTTTGTTGATGGTTTTCTTTGCTGTGCAAAAGCTTTTTAGTTTGATATAGTCCCAATTGTTTATTTTTGCTTTAGTTGCCCTTGCCCGAGGAGACATATCCAAAAAGATATTGCTAAGAGTGATGTCAGAAGCTTATTCCCAATGTTTTCTTCTTGAATTTTTGTGGATTCAGGTTTTATATTCAAGTATTTAATCCATTTTGAGTTTATTTTTGTATATGGCGTAAGATAGTGATTCAATTTCATTCTTTTGCATATCCAGTTTTGCCAACATTCTTTGTGAAGAGACTGTATTTTCCCCTTTGTTTACTCTTGCCTCCTTGGTTGTAGATTAGCTGTATGTGCCTGGGTTTATTTCTGGACTCTCTATTCATTCCATTGATTTATTTGTCTGTTTTTTGTGCCCATAGCATACTGTTTTGATTATTATGGTTTTGTAATATAGTTTGAAATTGGGGAGCATAATACCTCCTGTTTTGTTCTTCCCCAATATTGCTTTCGCTATGCCAGGGTTTTTAGTGTATCTATACAGATTTTAGGATTATTTGTGCTAGATTATTTGTAAAATATGCCATTGGTGGTTTGATAAGGATTGCACTGAATTCGTATATAGCTTTGGGTAGCACAGTCAGTTTGACAATATTAATTCTTCCCATCCATGAGCTGCAACTGCTTGCCAGCCCTAGCAGGGGGGCAGGGTGGTTTTGCAATGGCTGGCACTCGCAGACTTTAGCGGAGCAGCAGGAGGAGGCTGAAGGTTCCAGGTCACCCTCCCCTTCCAGGGAGTGGGGACATGTTCCAAAATGACTCACTCTCTTGTCTGGTGTTAGCAAGGCAGTGGGATAGTGCCCTGACCACTTGCCCACTGAGTTAGCAGGTCAGGTAGAGAGTGCAATAACGGCATCCACCAGCCCCTCCGCCTCTCGGGAGCTTTTCAACTCCTGGAGAGTCAGTGGTTTTCGGTTAGCAAGTCAATCTCTTTCCCGTGTAGTCTGGGTGCTTTTTTAGCTGCTGTTTTATTGTTATTTTGTTTTGTTGTTGTTGTTGTTGTTTATGCTGGGTCTCAGGTTGAGTCCCTTAGGTGGGGAGTCTCAGTTTCCCATAGCACTTTGGGTCCCTCAGATATCAACATCAGCACCATTGGTTTTCTAAGTCAGGTGCTGTGAATATATTTAACACTAACAAAATTGAATGCAACTTAGATTACAACTCTGTAGACTAGAATAGTTTGAACACTTACAGATTTAAAAACGGATATCTGAAATTCTCAATTTATTCTATCTCCTTTTTATGTATACTTCATGCAGCTACATTTTTTGGTATTTGACATATACATGTGGCATTATTTATGACCTTGTGGTTTATTTGAAACTGCAAGAGAATTAAGGAATAATAGAACGCTGGAGCTAATTTCTAATTTGATTGTGATTTTAAAGATTCAATATCATGGTAAATTTTTCAGTAATATTAGTATTATAAGGCCATAATCACAGCACATAACTTAAAAGTCATCCAAGTCAGTAATACTTTGACTTTTCTGTCTTGGCAAATGCCTTCCTCCTAATCGTTCTAATCTAAAAGTAAATTGTTGTTCTTTTAGAGCAGTGGTTCTCAACCTTGGCTGCACATTAGAATCACCTGGGAATCTTTTTAAAATCCTGATTTCTGGGCCTCATCCTCCGGAAATTCTGTTTCTTTGTTACTAATGTTGTGGCCCCACCCCATAACAAAGAAACAGAATTTCCGGAGGATGAGGCCCAGAAATCAGGATTTTAAAAAGATTCCCAGGTGATTCTAATGTGCAGCCAAGGTTGAGAACCACTGTTTTAGAGGATTTAGAATAATAATTAGCTATACCGAGGATGGGATCTAATTAGAAATAGTACTAAAAACTTATTGGGGCTGATGGGATCTAGCTGAGGAAAGACTTTCCAATGTGTTTCTATGTAAACCTCAGTGACACTACTTTTCTGAATCAGAAAGATGAGTTTTTACGTAAGAGATGATAACTAGTCATAGAAGACAAGATAATGGTATTAAAGAAATCACTTGCAGACAATTCAAAGTTTACTGCTATCTTTGACATCCTCAATATTTTTAACACAATAATTATGTTTACATCATAGGGGTTGACTGTCTGGGTCAGCAGATATTAACATGTAATAACAGCAACTATCATTTGAGCAACCGCTAAGAGCTTGGTTCTATGCTAGAGATTTATATTGTTTATTTAGTTCTCAAAACAATTCTGCATCATATTGGTTATCCCCATTGTACAAATCATAAAACTGCTACATAGAAAGGTTAAGTCGCTTACTTAAACTTAATGTAACTAGGGGCAGAAGTTAAACTCAGGTCAACTAGACTTAGAAGCTATGCTCTTTCCACTGCACAGTGCTAAGAGTGGTTGAAGAGATGGTTATGAATGCTCTAATTTGCTTTTCAGAAATTCTGTACGGAAGGCACACATCTATGGAATTACTTTTAGTATTTCACAAGCATTTATGTATTTTTCCTATGCCGGTTGTTTTCGATTTGGTGCCTATCTCATCGTGAATGGACATATGCTCTTCAGAGATGTTATTCTGTAAGTAATTCTTAAAATATTAAGAATATTCTATAGTAATATTTTAATAGGTCTATGCAAAAGTTTAGAGAAGAAAAAACCCCTCTCTTGTTGTAAGATAAGTTTAGAGAGTTGAATCAACTACAGAAATCTGATCTAATCAATACTACAAGGACAGTTTAATCACTGGAGTGGGCAAAAACTAACCAACCTCATCGTAGACCAGAATAGATAGAACTCCAGACAGGAGGATAGCAAATTTTCTTATTGTATAACTAGAGGCCCGATGCACGAAATTCGTGCACGGGGGGGGGGGGGGGGGGTCCCTCAGCCCGGCCTGCACCCTCTCCAATCCCGGACCCCTTGGGGGATGTCCACCTGCCAGTTTAGGGTGGGATCAGGCCTAAACCAGCAGTCGGACACCCATGGCTCCTAACCGCCTGCCTGCCTGATTGCCCTAACTGCTCTCCCCTGCCGGCCTGATCACCTCTAACTGCCTCTGCCTCAACTCCGCCACAGTGGCTTTGTCCGGAAGGTCGTCCGGAAGATGTCTGGTCTAATTAGCATATTACCCTTTTATTAGTATAGATGTAGGCAGATAGAAACCATAATTAGAAAGTTGCTGGTGACCATAGACTGAAAACAGAAGGTTAAATAGCTTGCTCTTTATGGGCAACCAAAGATGGCCTTGTCAAGGAGATGGGAATGCTTGCCTGAAGTCTGGCAAAGGCTCTGTCCCCTAACCAGACTTGGGATGACCTTGCCAACATTTGCCTTAGTCTCTCTCCTATTTTCTTGGTTTCCAAGACTAACCAGTGGTCTTTCTAATTGATACATTCCTCTTTTCAAAATATGCTAAATACATTCAATTAAGTTGCAGCCTAGTCTTGCCAAAGGGAAGCCATTTTTTTTTTAAGATCACTTGGCATATTTCTGCTCTGATGGGATGATTTTAAAGCACTAGTGAGGAACCATTAAAAAAAAAAGTCAAAACAAAGAAGGTGAAGTGTTTAAAAGCTGTTCTTTTCTTTTCATCCAAAATTGAAATAACTGTGAAAAAAAGTGCCTTCTGTCCTCTTTGGTGGAGGGATACTAACAACACAACAATCCAACAAGAAAGAAACCAAGTACCCTGGCTTCCCTCTCCTCCAGCCCTCCCACCCCCAGCTAGTCCCCTTCATTGCCAAACCCCATCAGACGCCAGAGGACAAGAAAAGCTGTTGGTGCAGTCCACGAAGGGTCAGCCTCTGACAAACTGGGAAGGTACAACATAGACATGGGTAGAGAGTAGAAAGTGCTTTCGGAAGATCAAATGGAAATATGCAGCTCAGATCTGGGACTGACAACTTGGAGTATTTCTACTGTCTAGAAAAATATCACTGAGAAAATTGGTCTTGCTTTTTTTGTTTCATTTTTTACCATCAAAATGTTAAATTCTGGATAATCAGAAGCCAGTTTTTTAATCTTCTGTGCTAAAGCTAGATTATAGGTGTATAGGAAAGCTAGGCAGCTACACGTGGGTTCATCACTATTTGACAATTTAGTTTTTGGTAACCAAACTTACCAAGTATTTGAGAGCCTTGCTATACCCACCATTCCTGTCCCTGTGTAATTAAAACACATTTTAATATCCTAGCTGTAGAAGCTTGGTAGAAGAAAGAAGGTTTTAAGTTTCCATTATTACTAGATAGAGGTTTTCTCCCTCTCCCCTTTCTCTGGGGGAACTCTGGTGTCAGAAGTAAATGGCTTTGTGGAGATGAAGGTACTGGGAATCTTTGGCCCTTCATAAATGCAGTTATAATCCTTATCTGTCCTCTAAAGACTGTTTACTTAGAAACGAGACCTTTAGCTTAGGACAGTTGTTTCAGGGTAGTATCAATAATTATTTTACTTTTAAGAGAAAAGCTATTTCTGGTAAAGGCTTGTTTTTCCTAATAAAAACTCTTTAACTCCAGTGGTCAGTACTGATTGTGCGGGAGTCTAGCAGGAACCACACATTGGCAGTCAGGGCTATAGATTCAAGAGGAAACATAACTGCTTGTCTGGCGCTGACCAAGCCCCTTAATACGCTACTTCAGTTCCCTCAGGTCTAAAACGGGTATCCGTACTTATTAATATTCCTTGAGATTACAAATCAGATTAAGTTATAAGCCATTTCCAAAATGAGAACTGTGGAAAGTTACAGGAACTCTAAGAAAGTAGAGGCTCCTAAGGAATAAAGAAACCCTCCATGGTGATCTGCCTCCCTGTGGATTTCGCTCCTTCCTTACTGGAATTTCACAGGAATGTGTGCTCCTAGGACGAGGTGGGGTGGGGGCATGACTCAGGGAGTAAAAAAATCTGTACTGGTGGGCAGTATGTCTGTGGACTTTTAAACATCATGGAGCTAATTATACAGGCTAATGTTTTAATCCCTCTTCTTCCGGTCTCTAGGGTGTTTTCAGCAATCGTTTTTGGCGCAGTGGCGCTAGGACACGCCAGCTCCTTTGCTCCAGACTATGCCAAAGCCAAGCTGTCGGCAGCCCACTTGTTCATGCTGTTTGAAAGACAACCTGTGATTGACAGCTACAGCGAGGAAGGCCTGAGGCCTGTGAGTTCTCTGCTGCCTCATGCCGTGCTTGGTTAATTGTTTCCCCAAGGTCTGCTGTCTGCTCGGTTGTGGCCACAAGATAAATCTATAGTGATTACACTGACATTTATTTATCTTGGTGATATTTACAGATCTAGCATTTGGCCAACTTTCCTGGCATTTTAAAATTCCATAGGGAGTTTCAAGGATTCTGAAGTTTAGCACATCAAAAGTAAAAAACAGAAAAAAGTCCAGATGTCCTGGAACTGGCTAATTGTTATGAAAACTGTTAGTCACTTCTGCATGAAGGTATATGCATATAATTCTGTAAGTGAATGCAATGAGCAATTTGGCTTTAATCACATCTTGTAATGACTGAATTACAATTGGTAAGAAGGCCACTGTATTCACAGTGAGTAATCGTACACTTCACTATTTCCAAAGTGAACTCAAACTTGGATAGGAGGGTTCTTGGCACAACACGAGCTGCTGTACATTTTACTGCATAAGAAGCAGTGTGGGTAGAGAGATAGGGACTTGATCTTTCTGGGACTTTACCTGGTATTCATGTTCTGAGAAAATTGCTGTGTTGGTGAGTGAGATAAAGAGGCTGCCAGGGCGTGGGACAGGCTGCCCACCGAGCCTGCAGGTGGAAACTGCCCTAAATTCCCACACCTTTGAATCTTTAGCCACTGGCTTGGCTCCAGGCTCCCGACTGTCCTTTGAGAACACTAAATATTTGTCTTAAATAAACCAGAAATCAAGGTTAGATAAGCACTATCTATGAAACGACTATTTAATGTAACCTGTAGCCCATCTCCCATCTTCATTTTATGTAACAGTTTTCTGTCCGTATTAACGAGTGTTAGCCCTTGTACTGAATATGACTCTCATGTCTTTTTACTACAGCCTTTGGTCAAGTTTTCTTGAAATAATACTGTTTATTACCATAATGATCAGACCGATTACAATAGCAACACTAAAACAATTTTTTTCAGGATAAGTTTGAAGGAAATGTGACATTTAATGATTCATTTTATAAAAGTTTTCTGTCCATATTAACGAGTGTTAGCCCTTATACTGAATATGACTCTCATGTCTTTTTACTACAGCCTTTGGTAAAGTTTTCTTGAAATAATACTGTTTATTTCCATAATGATCAGACCGATTACAATAGCAACAATAAAACAATTTTTTTCAGGATAAGTTTGAAGGAAATGTGACATTTAATGAAGTCGTGTTCAACTACCCGACCCGGCCCAACGTGCCCGTGCTGCAGGGGCTGAGCCTGGAGGTGAAGAAGGGCCAGACGCTGGCCCTGGTGGGCAGCAGCGGCTGCGGGAAGAGCACGGTGGTCCAGCTGCTGGAGCGCTTCTACGACCCGACGGCCGGAACCGTGGTACGTGCACTTTCTGACATCAGTAACCTGATTGAAGGCAGTATCTCAAGTGGCTAAACCAATATCCCCACAATGGAAAAACCTGAATAAGACCCACAGTCCTATTGGATAGAATGACCACATTCTGTAAACCCTAAACTGGCACCCAGAGTCAAACGGATATTGGAAGTCAGGTAGAACATCTGGAATTCAGTGTAGTTCTGAAAATAGTGAATATGAAGTTGACCTCTACCTGCCAGCCTTATCCTCCTAAGTAAACCCTCAGTTCCTGGTTTGTAAAGGAAAGCCCACGCTCCTGCCAGAGTGTTACGTAGGCTGCCAGGACAGGCCCATGCCTGCTTCTTCCCTCCCCACCCACTTCTGCTTTGCCTTCTCCAACCCTGCACTCCAGGCTCTCTGACTTTGGCCCTCACCTTCAGCCCATTTGTGTTTGGCTTTCATCATTGATTTCCTGGTATCTAGCTCTGGCTCTCTTCCCGAAGTGAAGCCTCGGCTCTGAGAATGCCTGCCTCTTCCATCACCTTGGGTCGCACCCACTGACCTAGCCCTGGGAGCCCACCCCCATGTCGACAGTCACCGAAGGGTTAAACCTTGTTGTTTCTTTTTGGAAAACCTTATGCTTCCACCATTACAGTCACTCGGCAGTTATGAACACAGGCAGACCAGCTCAGCACTGTGGCTATGCTGAGCCAATACTGTGGCGGGAATCTCTTCATTGAGGGGTCAAGACTAATGGAATCTGTGTCTGTTTCTTCTCTGGTGACCCTAACCTTGCGGGAAGCTGTGTTGCAGTCACTACATCACAAGGCTGCTCTGGAAGCATCATGCCTCCTGCTTACAGCAAACAAAAAATAATCAAAACTGCCACCAACAAAACCATTCTCCCAAGGACACTGCCCCCTGACCTTGTACACTTCCCCTTGAACTTTTGTCCTTGGTGCTGTCAAAGAGAGAACAGTTAGGGCTGGTAGATCTCAGGGGAAAGAGAAGTAGAAGTAGGTCAGGAGGTAACCAGCTTCCAGAATCTGCATTTTGTTCTGGCATGCCTGCTGGAGGGGGATAAAATCAAGTTGAAAGGTTGGAGTGATTCCGGGGACAGCAGGTATGAGTAGAACACCTAATTTCGGGCTTCCTAAAGGCAGGGGATGGTACCCTTGCCTGAAGAAGGGCAGATAAGGACAAAGAGAGGAATATGAAAACAGGACCAAACGTGCTGTCATTTTGCCAGTTAGACCAAGAAAGGGACAGCATGATCATCATAAAAATCATTTTGCTGGCTATGTTGGCCTCCAACAGTGTAAGGTGACACGCAAACTCATATTTTTGGTTGATTTTTCTTTGTTAAATGGCATTTAAATATATAAGATAAATATCAAAAATAAAATCTTTGTTTTACTATGGTTGCTAATATCAAAAAATTTCTATATGTGACACGGCAAGTTAGGGTTAAGTTAGGATTTTTCAAAATGCTGACACGCCGAGCTCTAAAGGTTCGCCGTCACTGGTGTAGGGGCTGTGAGGCTTGGTATTTCATAAACTGCTGATGCCCATATGCACCCAAATCCTCCAAATGATTCATCTAGTAACTTACCGCCTAGTTCTCTTTTCTTTTCAAGCCTTTCTTATAATTTGTGGACTTTGGTTTTCAGCTGCTAGATGGTCAAGAGGCAAAGAAACTCAACATCCAGTGGCTCAGAGCCCAGCTCGGGATTGTGTCCCAGGAGCCCATCCTGTTCGACTACAGCATTGCCGAGAACATCGCTTATGGAGACAACAGCAGGGTCGTATCCCAGGATGAGATTGTGAGTGCAGCCAAAGCAGCCAACATACATCCTTTCATCGAGACCTTACCCCACGTAAGTTAACTGGTAACTTCTCAGGATGAAATCAGAATCAACTGCGCACTGTTTCCCTCCCCAACACAGTTCCCAAAGCCAAACGCCACAGAATGTGTCTATGTACTAGCTCTCTGACCTTGGACAAGACATGGAAATTCACGATACCAAGTGTCCTTTTTAATTTCCTTTAATGCTACCTCATACAAATGTAGTGAGAAGCAAATAAGGTGATATTAAGTTAACGCACCATATCGCAGGTTTCGAACTGGTGGGCTGCATTCAGACCAAGGCCAAGTATCCCTGGTGATACTTTTTTTTTTTTTAATTAAGCACTTTATTTTGAGATAAGTATAGATTCACATGCAGTTGTAAGGAATTGGGGGATCTTATATACCTTTTACCTAGTTTCCTCCAAAGACAAAATGGCAAAACACCATGATATTGACATTGATACAATCCCTAGATCTCATTCACACTTCATCTTACATGTACACATTTGTATATGTGTTTATTTAGTTCTGGCAATTTTACTGCATTGCAGATTCATGTATCCACTATCAGTCAAGACACAGAACATTCTATCACAACAGAGATCCCTCATGTTGTCCTTTTATAGCACACTAGAGGCCCGATGCATGAAATTCATGCATGGGTAGGGTCCCTAAGCCTGGCCAGCAATCAGGGCCAGTCTTCGGGGCGACTGGGCTCCTGCTGGCACCTGCCTTGGCTGGCCTGGGTGCAGCTCCTGCATTGAGTGTCTGCCCCCTGGTGGTCAGTATGCGTCATAACGACTGGTTGTTCCATGGGTCATTCGGCTGTTCAATTTGCATATTAGGCTTTTATTATATAGAATACCCCTCCTTCCCATTCTCACTCCCCCAACCTCTGCAACCAGTAACTGTTCCTCATTTCTGTAACTTTCCACCTTTAGAACATTATATAAACTTACAGCATATAACCATTTGCGATTAGCTTTTCTTGGCCTAATTCCCTGAAGTTGTGTGTTCATCCCTTTTTATTGCTGAGTAGTATTTAGTTCACTGTAAACTGAACCAACTCAATTTGTACTTTTATCCATTCTGTGTGTTTTTGGCTTAGAATGTTCTCTCAATATCAAGCTTACCAACTTTTCCACAAAAGTATAATTTATCTCCCCTTTCTCCTTCTCCCACCTTATCTCCACAATTTCTATTTCCTCTATGATCTTTCATAGCATGTTGCCTATACTACTCATTTGGTACTTAACTTGTATTGAATGCTGAATATGTATTTCTCTTTAGACTTTCATTCCTTCAGGGTAGGAATAAAGCCTGATTCATTTTTACACACTTCCCACAGTTCTGGGCATAACAGATACTCAGGAAATATTTGAGTGAATGAGTTTAAAAGAGAATAAACTGGGTTCCTTGTTGGTCATCTGATTATATCAATTTTTAAAGAATTTTAAACCTTAGACATTAACATTTAACCTCTTTAGGACATCAGATGACATGATGATAATGGTAAGAATTTGAGAATTTGTTGCAGAATACCATTGAGAATTAAGGTCACTCGTTTTCTATTTGGATTTTGAAAACAAACTTTCTGTTAAATGTAAAAAAACATTAAATGGACAACTATGTAGCTGTTACAGAAACTTTTTATTGATTCCAAATTATTTTTCCTTATAAGTAGTACTGTCATAAGTAAAAGTTTATTCATTATAACATTAGTAATTTTGCTGGGTTAGGACCTTAATTAATTTTGTTGACCGACTTGCAGAAATATGACACAAAAGTGGGAGATAAGGGGACTCAACTCTCAGGAGGTCAAAAACAGAGGATTGCAATTGCCCGGGCCCTCATCAGACAACCTCGAATCCTGCTGTTGGATGAAGCTACATCCGCTCTGGATACTGAAAGTGAAAAAGTATGGCCTTCCACCTCACATCCTATTTAATTTGTAAAACAGAGGGGTTTTGTGCTATTAGCCATGAAAAAAAAATAATATGCAAGCACAGAAAAAAGTAAATAGAAATTTAGACAGTGGTTATTTTGAGGTAGAATATTTTTATTCCTTTCAGTATTTTCCAATTTTTCTAAAATGATCATGTATTACTTTTAGAAACACACCAAAAGTAAAGCATTCAAAAGAAAAGGCTGCATAAATCATTTTAGCATATTCTAATGGAAAACAATACTCAATAAAAGGGAACTAGTTAAGTAAAATATTTTGTGACTAGTTAGAAATTTTAACTACTTGTGAAGATTATAGTGACAATCCATTTTTATTATAATTGAAAAGAACATAACTGTATGTAATGTCAAGTTATATTAATACACAGGTATAAAGACAAATATTCAAAGAGATAAGAAATGAAAGAAATTTTATTGCTTGGATGGTAACATTTTTTAATTTCCTTTAATGCTAACACCTATTTATATAATTAAGATAAGACTTCTGATCTGATTTATTAATAGATTGTCCAAGAAGCCCTGGACAAAGCCAGAGAAGGCCGCACCTGCATTGTGATCGCTCACCGCCTGTCCACCATCCAGAACGCAGACCTGATAGTGGTGTTTCAGAACGGCAAGATCAGGGAGCACGGCACCCATCAGCAGCTGCTTGCACAGAAGGGCATCTACTTCTCCATGGTCAGCGTCCAGGCTGGGACGCAGAACTCATGAACTCTTGTTACCGTGTATCTTAAAAAATAAACTCAAATCATTCTACAACTTTTGCTGACTTGCAAAAGAAGTTTCTAAGTCATCGTAAAATACAGGTACATCCAATCGGGGGTTTGCTATTACAACATTTGAAATTTTGGAGTTATAAATCATCAAGACACATTTCTTGATGAAATATGTTAACAGCTTAGCTCTTCCTGAGTTTTCAGAAACATACGGGGGGAAAAAAGAGCAAAGTTCAGGTATATAAAGCTGTAGAATTAGTAGAAGCCACAGACATGGGGACAGTTATTATGGTCCTGAACAGTTGGGTAGATGGATGTTTTGAGAACATTTTCCCCAAGTACAAAGAAAATATAAATTGTTCAGAAGCCTACTCTCTCCCTTGGTAGGTTTCCAAATTATTCTACTGGGCATTGATTTTTAAAAATGAATGTATCCCCAGCTTTAGGATAGTCCAAGAGAAGATACAATTTCCCTCAGACAAGGTAACTCTGCAGGCACACATTCATTCTGTAAAGCAAAAAGAGATATCATTAAGTATTTCTTTTAAAGAAATGTTTAAACTTATGAATAATTGTACATATATCAGTACAATTTGTAACACTGGAAATATCAATAATAAAATTCTTTTTCTATAACAACTGTATTACTTTTTCCAAATAATACTAATATTCCCAGGATGTGACCCCACTAACAAGAATGAAATATATTTAGATGAAGGGCTAAAAGAAATATTTCAGGCAACCCTTGGAAACTAACCATACTGAAATGTTTTTTCCACAGTTTACCTCAGCAAAATCAATTATTTAGGTCGGTATTCAAACCAAATTCTTCTACCTGTAATAAACCATATACTGTATTACCAAAGATGTTTCAAATGTGACCATGTGTATCAGTAGACAATTTCAGATTAAACAAGAGGAGAATGGGGCAAGGGATTAGCACAATTACTCAATGTGAGCAGAATTCAACTTACTCTTGTGTAATTATTCCCAAAGTTGCCTGATGAGGATCATGGGGCATCTGCCCTGGAAATGGACTCAGTAGGTCTGGGTTGAGGCCCAAGAATCTCTCTGGGGAGATTCCGGGTGATTTTTAACTTGAGGCAATGTAGGGAAACGTGTTAAAGCAGGAGTGAGGAGAGGCTCCTCTCTAGGAGGTGACCCATTGCTAAAATACTATTTAGATAATATTTTAAAACAATACACCAAATGACTAAAGTGCCTGGAAATTTAGTCTACAAAATTGTACTAGTGAGGAAGAGGTCCAGAGTTCATAGAAGCCAACTCTGAATTTTTTCACAAAGAAATACACCAGACTTACCAAATTCAGAACATATGAAAATGTAAGAACAAAAAGGACATCCAACCAATCTATTAAAAATATTGTCATTTTTATGTGACAGATTGCTGCCATTGTCATGTCCCCTCTTGTGTCTATTTACATTTTTTATAAGAGGGTCTCATTTATTTTTTTATTTTTTGATATTTTTATTGATTTCAGAAAGGAAGGGAAAGAGAAAACATCCATGATGAGAGAGAATCATTGATCAGCTGCCTCCTGCAAGCCCCCTGCTGGGGGATCGAGCCTGCAACCCGGACATGTGCCCTTGACCAGAATCGAAACCAGGACCCTGCAACTTCTACCTTTCCCCTTTAGAACACCCACTGCCAAGTATAGAAATCCAGTTAAAATACCGAATGATCTGACAGCACGTGGAGAGAGCCCCAGCCACCAGTCCCCAGACAGTGGGTAAGGCCATTTCAGACTTACCAGCCACAGCCAGCAGCTGCATACATGACATCGAACCTCGGACCCTTCAGTCCACAGGCCAATGCTCTATCCACTCAGCCAAACCAGCTAGGGCTTTACTTACATTCTTAAAGTCATTTATGAAATTGACTTTGCTGCTCCTCTTAATCCAAAGGTGAGACTTTTCCCCTGACCCCTTAAATCTGGACTGTCCTTGTAACTTGTTTTAACCAACAGAATGCAAAAGATGTGACATCATGTGACTTCAGAGCCTAGACCTCAAGAGGCCCTGCAACTTCTACCTTTCCCCTTTAGAACACCCACTGCCTAGTACAGAAATCCAGTTAAAATACCGAATGATCAGACAGCACGTGGAGAGAGCCCCAGCCACCAGTCCCCAGACAGTGGGTAAAGCCATCTCAGACTTACCAGCCACAGTCCAGCAGCCGCATCCATGACTCAGGCAAGACAGAAGCAGACCTCCAAACGGGCACCGTCAACTGACACAGTCGTGAGGAATAATACGTTGTCGGAAGCAGGAAGTTCGGGGTGGATTATTACACAACAATTTATAACAGGTCAGAAAGTATAAGGTCAAACAGGAATGAACCACTTATTCAAACACAAGAAGCTATATGATTTTGAGTTTTATTTTCTGAGGGTAGAAACTACAAAATTGAACAGAAGAGGAAAAAAAAAACCACTAAAATCCTGAGAATCTGATTCAATATTTAATCCTTGTAGTCATTCATTCTGATACCTAATTTTAAATATAAGTGCTTTAATTTTATATTCACAAACTAATGACAACAATATACTAAAATGAATTTTGTTAGGGTTTTTTTAATAAGTGTCAGAGGGTAGAAACCTCCCTACTACAACTTACTTTTTGTCTGTTCAACAGAAACTTTTTTTTAAATCCTCATCAGGAGATATGCTCATTGATTTCAGAGAGAGGGAGAGGGTGGAAGGGAGAGAATTAGGGAGAAATATTGATGTGAGAGAGAACATCGATCGGCTGCCTTGCATAAATGTCCCGATCAGGGACCAAACCCACAACCTAGGTATGCGCTCTGCCCAGGAATTGAACCCACAGCTTTTCAGTGCACGGGATGACACTCCAATCAACTGAGCCACCCTGGCCAGGTCAGCAGAAACTATTTTTGTTAATCACCATTAACTTGTAGTGGTCTTTCCCAAATATAGTAAGCTTGTATCCCTGTGGTGAATGTGAAAGACACTGATTTCAGGGAAATTAGCATCCAACCAGGTATCTCATACCCTTTGGCAATTAGAAAATGTTAAAGTGCCTGAAAGATAGACTCTATAACAGTGATTTCCAACCAGTGTGCCGTGGCATTTTTAATAACTGACTAGTCAGGGACACTGACCTCTTTTCCCTTAGATTGTCCAAAAAAAAAAAATAAGTGACAACAGCAAACAGAATAGCTGTCCAGGGTGAATGAATCAAAAGTATACCTATTTTTTGGTCATATTGGCAAAAAATACATTTTTTGATGTGCCATGAGATGAAAAAAGTTGAAAATCACTGCTCTACCATGATGTTCAGAGAAGGAATTTATAACCTTTACAGGTATCAATAAAAATATTTAAAAGTTAAAATTAGAGTTGCATTGTTAAATTTTGTAGAATTGCATTGTTGAGGCTTAAACTTTGCATAGTTCTAAAATCACTATATTAAAATTTGCATTGCTGCTGCATCAGAGGAAGCTTAAAAATATTTCTACTTTGTATGCCAGTATAGGTTTAGAGAGCATGATTCTATTAATGTCTACATTTCCTTCAAGTTGACCCTCCTCCTTACCTCCCCTCAGCAACCCACTCCCAGCACCCAGTTTACATGGTCTAACTGGTAAGTGCTTAGTGCATAGTGAGTCTCTAGAGATGAGCGGAGTTCATCAGCTGCATCATATCCTGGAAAGCATGGAAAATCAGCTGAACCAGCTTCTCCGCGTCGGTCTCCGCACAGGATTTCCAGGCTGAGCAGGCCACCACAAACCTGCAAAGAACAAGTAATAAACGGTGAAGTACGAGGTGACAATCACAACCCCGAAAAGCTCCACATGGCTGGCTGCTGGCGTGTGAAGCGCGACTTCCGCCTGGCAGGAGGTACATGGAAGCTGACGCATGGCAAGTACAGGCTTCGTTACACATAATGCTGGGAACACCGAATGCGCTGCGTGACTGAAGACTAAGGACAAAGGGGGACAATACACGAGCCAGAACTCCCAGTGCTTGGAGCAAGGCCTTGCTGTGTTATAGAAACACCCACCTCTCCCCTAAAACAGACCTTCCTGCACGTGCTCTGAATGGAATGAGGTGGAATACGAATTCATGCCATTGTTTGCAATAAAACCTGAACTTTTAAAAAATATATATTTTATTGATTTTTTACAGAGAGGAAGGGAGAGGGATAGAGAGTAAGAAACATCGGCCTTCTGCACACCTCCTACTGGGGATGTGCCCACAACCAAGGCACATGCCCTTGACCAGTATCGAACCTGGGACCTTTCAGTCTGCAGGCCGACGCTCTATCCACTGAGCCAAACCGGTTAGGGCAAACCTGAACTATTTTAAAGAATACAGGACTTGAAGAGAGTAAAAAATAAATAAAATAAAATAAATAAATAAAATAAAATAGAGAAATATAAGAGGGGGGGGGAAGCTACTTCTAGGAAAGCCAGAGAGAAACTCTCTTGGGACCATCTTCCACATATCTCCTCGGTCCTCCTGATGAAAAAAATCCCTGGTCTGGCAAGGGGTAGAGTGGCCCTGGAAGCTCAAGGACATAGGAAATGTGCTCAAAGCAGAAACCAGGCTACCGACCGACTCTCTTGGAATTGGCCTTCTCCTTTCCAGACACTCAAATTTATTCTAGCAAAACATACACTAAGCTCAAGGTAAAACCAAAATGTTGTTCAATGTAAAGCCGTGGACAACCGTGCAATTTTCACAACACTATAAAGAGACAGTATATTATATATCTTTGACATGTGCTTTAGTTCAGCAGAATGAAGTAAAAACATGCTCTGGCCAGGATAAAATGATGAGACTAATATCCAAGGGGATTATATTTGCTCGAAGACACACAGGAACCTACAGAAAGCCCTGCCTGTTTTCACCCAGTGGTTTCGCATAACTTGTCATTTTCCAGCTACACTGCATGTAATTATCAAAGTTAGCAACATCTAAATATATTCCTTTGCAAAGATCAACAATTCCTATTTAAATGTCAAATTTCTCAGAAATCCCGTTATCTTTCTAAATTATAGAAAGAAATAACTATCTTCACAAAAAAATGTACACAGATGCCAGTAACAAAGAAAAAATGGCTTGTTCATCAGTAAAGAATTATTTTTGTTATTTTTCCCTATAAATTGGCAAGGAATGTTTTAGAATGCCTAGAGTTGATAATGATGTGATGAAATAAGGAAGGATATATTATCATTATTTGTAATAACAAAACACTTGAAATTGTACGTTAAGAGGTTAAATTATGGAAATCCTTACGACTAGACATTATTCAACCATTAAAATTGCTCAAAGAATAGTCTATGCATTGGGAATTGCTTTAAATAATATTAAATGAATAAAATTCACACAAAGGACATGAAAATATTTATAATATGATCTACAATTTTCATTATTGTACAGAATTTTTATACTGAGCATGCAGTACATTTAAAATAAGATGCTATTTCAAAAATAAACCCATTTTCTTTAAGTCATACCATTTTCACACTTAACAATCAATGAGAAAACCCTTCCAGACAGTTTACATGCATTTTCCGTCTGCAGTGCTGCCAAGCCTGCTCACTTCTTAGTTGCGTGCTGAATGCAGCTACATTATTATTTTTTTTTTTTCTGAGTTGCTCCGGTATGCAGCTCTCAGGCGTGCATCCGTGTTGAGCAGGGACTTCTTTGTTGAATTACAGGTGGCTGTTTTGTTGAAATGTCAGGGGGAGAGGACAGACACACCCTCACACCGCCACTCCTCGGCCGTCACTCGCCACATTATGTTTTGTAAGCTCCCCAGGCTCTGAAAGGTCCCTGTGAAGAGCCTGCCAGACTGTGAACAGGACCTTCAAGCCTTTCTGTCAATTCCATGTGTCCTTCTTTCCCACCTCTCTCTCCCCTACCAGGCTTTAATATTTTCTTTCTTATTCTTTCCACAAACTTAACTCAAACTCCAGAAACCCAAATGAAGTACACAATCAATGCCTCAGTGGTTAAAAAAAAAAAAAAAGAATTTTTTAAATTTAAAAAATTTTAAAAAATTACCCATTAACAAGTGGCAGGTAAAACAATCGGAATCACAGTGTAGGAAAGACATTCAAACAACAAACATGATAGCTTTCTTACTCTACAGCACAGGAAGAATCAGCAGAGTGCCTCACCTGTCGTCTCTGATGTGGTAGAACACCCCGTAGCCGCTGTGTACCATGGGCACCACCACTCCCTGGACCCTTAAGTACCCAACCAGACTTGTCGAGAGAACAAAGTTTCCACCTCCTCCACTGCAGCACAAAGGAAAGAGATTACATGAGGCTTACAGAAGCTCACACGGTTTCTGAAGAGCTTTTAACACGG